ATCTTGACAACTTTTCGAATCTCAACTGGAATGGTTGTTTGAAGTAGGAGATGAAATCACATGTTCTTCCGTTCTCAGCCAGCGAAAAGCTTATGAATTTATATTAGAAGCTTTTATTTCATGATATTCCCAGCCGAGAGATGACCCCAATTAGAAAATTCTAGTTTTTAAATAATAGAAGTTTTGGTGAGAGTGTGGCCAATGTTCAAGCCCAAAAGCCTCCGTATGGTAGTACGCACTGAAAACCACTTGGTGCTGCTGCTTCTAGTTATTCGCTGCAACTGAATTATTTTGTGGCTCTAAAGTCTTCGAAGAAAGATTATTATGTATACTTGCATATAGAAGAATTTACAATAATTATTAAAAATATTACAATAAAAATCCTATTCAAACGGGATATTTTATAAAAAAAAAAATCCTGAAATGGTGACAGCAAAAGGTATTAATATTTTGTGAGTTAGTTAAAGAAAATTGTTGCAAATTCTATCGAATCTGCCTTATAAACCAAATATTATAATTTGTTTTCTATTTGGTGGGTCGAAAAAATTTTCCTCACAACAAATCTATTAAGTATTTAAATAAACCCGCCTGCCACAACAACAATGCACAAATTTGTCCAATTAAAATTTAACAAAATTTTCTCAACAGCAAATAAAAACTAAAGAAAAAGAGGAATGCAAGATAATAAAACAAAATGATGTCAAAATAAAATTGCACTCAAAACTCATTGTCAATGTTATGCGCATAAGCCGCGACGCCACTAAATTGCTTGCCTCTTCAATATTGGCGAATACACAAACATACAAACTGTTGTCATACAACAATAATCGCAACAAACATACGAAATAATTGCAGGCTGACAAGTATTTTGTAATTAAATTTGTAAAAAATGACATCACACGCCGACGACGGACTGCGCAACTTAGGCAGGTTAGGCGGGCAGTATTTCATAGAAACAAAGCAAGTGAGCGAAGAATAAGCAGAAAAATGACACTTAAATAATAAAAACACAGGCAATAAAATATTTAATTTGTTGACTGACAACAACATTTCGTGCAGTAAGCCAGCAATTTAATTGAAATTTTTGAAGGCAACCGAAAATGTAACAAACAAACAAGCACACAACAGCAAGTCAGCACGTAAAATGACACGCCAACAACATGCCACATATGCAGCATTTAATGGCATGCTGGCGTTAATGTGACACAATTGTAATGGCAATCGTAGTTTTATTTCGGTTGTAATTGTTTCGTGTTTGCAGAGCAATTGCTAATTTAATAGCTTTGGCCGAATTAAAAACATTTCAAATGTAATCAAATTTAAGCAAGTGTGTGTGTTTTGGGAAGGCAGCAGGCGGAAAATGAGGTGATAAATGATGCATTTATGCGAGTGAGTGGAGATCAAATGTTGTCGCTAATTTAGAAAATACAAATTGATCTAAAAAAAATAAAAAAACAAAATCAAATAAAAAAAAATAGAATAAAAAAATCAAAAAAAAAAAAATAAAAAATTAAACAAATAAATAGAATAAAATAAAATGAAAGAAAAGAAAAAAGTCAAATAATATAAAATAAAAAAATACAAAATTCAAAATCAAAATAACATAAAATATAATATAATATTAAAAAAAATAATAATAAAAATATAAATAAAGTTAAATAATGAAAAATAAAAAAATTTGAATTAAAAAAAAATAAAGAAATATAAAATTAAAATAAAATAAAATAAGATCAAAAATACAACAAACTAAAATAAAATAAAATAAATAAAATAAAGTTAAATAAAACTAATTAAACCAAATTAAATTAAGTAAAAAATTGGTAAACATAATAAATTGAAACACGAATTAAACACCTTTGTTTGTTTGTTTCATTCAAAAATGTGTCGAATTGGTTTTAATTTAAGCTTTTAAAGTTACTTTGTTAAAAATGTCACTTAATTTAAGTGACTCCTCATCAAAGACATGTCATTCAGTAAAAATATCTCCACTCAAGCGCTAAAAACTTGAGTACATGCCACTCAATTGTCATAAGCAATTTGCAATCATAAATCATTAGCATAAATAACAAATATACAAATGTTAATTCAACTAGTCACACATTCCGGGAAAACGAATGAATGAGTATCCACACAAAGGTAAATGAAATGAAGCTTATAAAAAGAGTTTTGCTTAATTAGCCTGCGCTTTGCGTTGGTCATTGCGCATGCGCATTCGTTTATTTGTGGTTTAGACAATAGCTTAATTGTTTTTCAAACCTATTCGAGTACAGCTAGCAGCTTGTACATACATTCAGAGATATAGAGATGTAGTATGGCGTTTCCGCCTTTCAAATAAATACAAAAATGTGTGTGTAGTGTTTTTTATTTTATCTCTACACCTACAAAAAATGTTCATTCAATACAAAGAAAAAGTAAAAATAAAATATTGTGGAATGTTGCAGACAAATTAAATAACACTTTTGTACGCCGCAGCAAACAATGACAGCATCTCAAGTGGCGGATATATGTTTTTAGAAAAAAAAAAAAATTAACGCAAATGAATTTTATAGTTTTTTTTTTTGCTGTCTGACAAATTGCGTATTACAAATTGTCGAGTACAACACATTTTGTCTTTATTATTATTTTTTTTTGTTCAAATGCCTTTCGTTGTATTTGTATTTTTAAGGATATTTACTGATTTATTGAATTATCAAAGCAGATTAGCAATAATTTTGAAAAATTTTTCGACTTTGCGCTCTTTTCCCATTCAACAAAGTAATATAATGAATAAATTAATGGTACGTTAAGGCACCATAAACCCATTTGACTAGGTTTTCAAGTGTAAAAAAAATTCTGAAATTCGCTTGCTTTTAAGAAAATTTATAAGTAATAAAAATTGCGTTGTACTTTTAACAACAATCAGCGCAAAGCATGAGTTAACTCTGTTGTTGCTATAATCAAGGTGTGAGAAATTTTTTCTCTTCTCGTTAGAACGAGTCTCATTGAGCCTGTATGCATGTAGTTGGAGAAGGTTAGTCTGGGATGCCTTTTAAGTGAGTAAACCATGAATGCGCTAAGTAATTAACATAATTTTTTTTATCTACTAAAATGTGCTCCACTCATATCTATTATTAAAAGTCACGATATAACATATTGGGCGTGTAAGGCATGCCAATGTGCATGCAATAAAACCATATTTGCATTCAATTTATGTTAAATGGAATTTAATAATATTTATTAATAGATGCACATATTAACACATAAAATTTTCTATATTAAATCGAAATTATATGAGATAATTTTTAAAGATATTTAGCACTTGGGAAGCGAAACTGTAATGAAAACTCTAATAAGAATACGCTGAGAGTGAGCATTTCTTAAAAGTAATAATTTAAAATTCAATTATAATCAAATAATTGACCCTCAACTTGTTTGCAATTTAATTATCACTTCTAAGGCGAGTTCAATGCAAACGTAACACTTTTATGTTCTTATAATTTAAAAAAAAAAAGTTAAAATACAATACATTTAAAGGCTACAAAAATTGTGAATTAAATATTCTTAAACACAATACAAAATCCATATTATTCTTCTCCGCTTTATTGCCTTTTAATAGCTTATGCCCAGCTTCTATTTCATTTTCTCATTAGACAACCATAAAATAGAATATTTAATCGCATATTTTAATCAATTAATTGAAGTTATTTTATTTTTCATCTTTCGTTTGTATTTGAATATATTACACGTATGAAAATTCATAAAAAATTATTTTGCATTTGACACACATACCAAGTCGTTATGGGAGCTGCGAGAGGACCGAACGAGCAAATGTTAGGCACGCATGCGCATAAATGCAAATATTTAAAACAAAAAACAAAACAAAATTCAAAAGCTTATAAATATATATATATATGTGTACTAATGAACCTAAAATTATAAACACATTAGCATACTAAAACAGTGTTGATAATGTGCTAAGCATATAAAAATTTGTAAAAAAGAAATAGGCTTAAATGAGATGAAAAGAAAAACAGAAATATTATATATCTTAAAAATTAGGGAAATATTTTTTAAGCTTTCGTGTGAAAGTTTTTTGTTAATTTGATGTCAGCGTGGGCTTCTTTTAATTATCATATAATCACATAAAATCAAATAAATTTACAAAAAAAAATTTATATATATAAATATCATTTATTATATATAAAATAACATACAATAAAACTAATTATAATGAATTAAAATAATATAAAGTAAAATAAAACAACATAAAATAAAATATAATTATATTAAATAAAATTGTATTAAATTTAAAACCACAAAATAAAATAAAACAATATAAAATTAAATAATATTGAATTTAAAACCGAAAAGAAATAAAAATAAAAAATAACCAAATAAAACCTGTTAAAGAAAAATAAAACTAAGCAAATTAAAAGTTAAGCTAAACCAATTAAAATAAAATTAAATAAAAAAAACTAAATAAAATAAAATAAAAAAAAAATAAAATAAAATAAAATAAAATAAAATAAAATAAAATAAAATAAAATAAAATAAAATAAAATAAAATAAAATAAAATAAAATTAAATTAAATAAATTAAAAAACTAAATAAAATAAAATAAAAGGGAATAAAACACAGTTAACTCAATTAAAAATAGTCAAATAAAATATAAAAAATATAACAAAATTAAATTTAAAATAAAATAAAATAAATAATACTAGATTTAAAAATATAAAAAAAAAACAAAAAAATTAAATAAAATAAAAAACCAAAATAAATAAATAAAATAACGTTACATAAAATCAAATAACATAATTTGATTAAAAAATATTTGTTCCTTTATGTATAATTCCATTTAAAGACACTTGGCTAGTCAGATATTTTTATTTTTAAATTTTTGGTAATTGTTTCCCATTTTAAGTTCATACAAAAGATTAAATATGCTTATAATTAAGATTTTTGAAATAATTTCAAAATCCGTTAGATGCTCTAATTTTTGCCTCTTCTCCCATTTTTTTCAGAATATATTAGAGAAGTTCAATCCAGGTGCACGCCAACTCATCTCTTCCGGCAAAGGTTATTTGAAGGCTTTGCATGGTGAGTAAAGAAAAAAGTGATTTGAGTTAAGAATTATTAAGATAAAAAATGGTGATAAAAAGCTGGTAATAAAAATAAATGAGCAAAAAGCTCTTTCAAGCTAAATATCTGAGCATTTTGTAAGAATCTGTTATTATAACTTCAGATGTGTTTTTATCTCGATGTCTTCACACAGGTGCTGCATCTGCGTCACGCCTCTTCAATGAAGCATTAGCCAAGCTGGCAATGAATGCACAACAAAGTGGAACTAGCGATATAGGTGAGAGCAACAAAAAAAAAAAACATACGTAAATTAAAAAATTAAAAATAACAAAAAAAACCTATAATGATGATAAACAAGATGAATAAGGAAGAAATATGCATGACCGTTTAACAACCTCAGCGAGTTGCACGTGTTGCTGCAAAGAGTTGTAGCTACATATGGCTTAATGCTAAATCGCGTATAACCGTGCTTATAACATAAGTTGTTGTTTAGTTTTTATTGACCTCTTTAGTATTTTGCCATTAAATGTTAATTAAAAATTATAAAATATTCTCTTATTTTTTATTATCTTCTATTGCCATTAATCATTTTTATTTATTTTTTTTTGTCTTCTGTTATTCTACTTGTCTTAGGTGCGGCTTTGATGAATGTTGTTAGTGTTTACAAAGAAATTCAAGAGCAACAAATGAATATTGTGAGTACAGTTATGGCGCATATCTATTAAATCTGACTCATAGCAAAGTAGGAATTTTATAATTTTCTTTTACTAAATAAATCTAAAAACGGTATGGAATTTTTATTATTATTTTTTCCCAACAGTTAAAAGCATTCTACGTTGACTTATTGGTGCCATTGGAAACAAATTTGGAGAAAGATACAAAGGTCGTACAGCATGAGCAAAAGAAATTTCTACAACAACATAAAGTACGTATGGAGAGTTATCAGAAGGCCGTTTCCACAATGAAGAAGCAACGCAAGAAAAAAGCCAGTCCAGAGAATACGGAAAAGGAGTTGAGGGTAAGTGTGAAGGTGTTCGGCCTGAAAAAATAAGTTGTACTGAGGGTTTGAAATCCCTAATGAAGGAAAATAAGAAAAGATAATTATGAAGCATCAGAGAAAATGATCAAATCTTATGTTTTGTATTTTTATCTTAAAACATTGTCGTTGTAGGATCAAATCCGTCGAATTTTTCAAAGAACATATTATGTATTGATTTTCCTTACATAAGTTGGGAGTGCAAGTTGCAATTATTTCCTATTTAGGTTAGGTGATATGGTTGATACCTTATTCCCTTTCAACGACACAGTGAAGTTCGGCGTATACGAGTATTAGCCTCCTATTTAGTTTTTGGAAAGACAAAAAGGTGAACACAGCAGCAAATAAGTATGTGAAGCCTTTTCGTACCTCAGATATTGTCATCGTCCATGTCTCCGCATCATATAGCACAGCAGCAATGATGATCGACTTTTCAAGTTTGGTCTTTATTTGCTGCGAGAGGAATTTACTATTCCATTACATACATAATCCTAAGTGGCTGGCTCTAGGATAGGCGGAATTATTTATGACTGAAAATAGTGACGAGTCGCGAATGCGATGTCTATTTGTTTGATGACAATTGGTATTTCATCTTGCCTACTACCTAACCCATACGCTTCACTGCCATATCCCATCTAGAGAAAGCAGAGCTCAAGATGCGGTTGTTGAAGCAAATGCTATCAATATCATCGGCATACGCCGTACGGTCTTATATTCAGCTCAGCAGCACGAATTTTTTTCTGCTGCAATAAATTAAGGAAGTCATACGATAAGGAAGCATATTGTCTGAAATTTCGTTTGATACCTATTGGCTCGGAGAAGTCCTTCCCGATACTGACGGAGCTTCCATAGCGTACCGAAATACTCCACGGTTCTTTGTGTTGACCTTTTGCCTACTTCTCATAACCAGGGTAGAGCCGAGTAGTAGCAGCATTGCATACTAACAATCGGATGGCCAGGATTTGAGTTCTGGTCCGCCCACACATCCAAAAATATTATATAAAAAATTAACTTTTCTAAAAGCGGTCGCCCCACGGCAGGGAATGTCAAGCCCAAACGTTTGTTAGATTGAAATATCTGAAACGATTTCTTTTTGTTTCTTTTTATTTAGTATATTAATCTCTTTACTCCACTTTCAGAATCTACAAATATTGGAAGATCAGAAGAAGAAATTGGATGCATTCTGCGAACAAAGCTACAAGAATGTGAGTAAAAATTGCGTGTAATTTTTTTAATGAGCTGCAAGCACATATTTTAAAATTTCCTTTGAATTTTTTACTAATTTCGATTCGTTTCATCTATACCCCAACACACACGCACACACATATGGGCAATAGGCCATGACACAGGAGCGCCGTCGGTATGGTTTCGTACTCGAACGCCAGTGTTCCATCGCCAAGCATTGGATGGCCTATCACAGCACTGGCAAAATGGTAATTGATAACAATTTGGAAAATTGGCAAGAAATTGCCGCTTCACGTGAAGTGATACCAGCAGCCGCGGCATATGAAGGAGATGGTGGCATTGGTAGCTACAGTAATGGAAGTAGTGGCAAAAGGATGGTGAGTGTGGTGATTTCAGCAAATACATATGTGTGTGTATAGATTAACGGTGCATATAAAAATCGTTGCTGTAATTTGATGAGTTTTTGTATTTTTTTCTTTAATAATTTTGAAATATATTTCTTATTATTTTTCGCTTTTCCACTTGGCTTTATCTACATGCGCCGCACACACCACACATTGTATTGCCATTAATTGCCGCGCCTCAGGAGCGTCTCAAAGATGGTGAGGACATGCACGCTGGTGGCAATTCCACATCATCACAGTTGAAGAAATCACGCAGCGTTGACGCGCCATACGGCGATATGCGTACCTTGCATGAGAGTCAAGTGAGTTACACGCAAAATTCATTGCCGCGCGCCAAATCCGATTTCAATCTACCAACAGTGACGGGCTGTGAGTTGCAAGCTTTGAGCTTTAAGCTCAGTACTTCCTAGTTATACACTAACCATGATTCTCCTTATACATTTTTCCCACACACAGCAAGCGACCACATCGACCACGGCCAATGGGATCAGCGTCCCGTGGTGAAAGCGCTGTACGCCTACATGCCTTCCGGTGAGAATCAGCTGTGCTTTGACGAGGGCGATCGCATCGCTTTGGTAGGCAGTAAGGCTAAAGGTTGGCAGTTCGGTGAGAATTTACGCACGCAAATGTTCGGTTGGTTCCCTATTGCCTACACAAATGCCGAAGGCGCTGTCGAACGTGAGAAATATCGCTCCAGTGAACGCCACAACGAGCGCAGTAGCGATCGTTACGAGAATGTACATTACGAACGTAATGGCGGTATGCGTGGCTATCATGATCAATATATGCCTGAAGCGCATATGGATCCTGCTATGGAAAGTGATTCGACATACCGCCGACGCAATAATAGTGCCGAGGAATCGTCGCCGACACGCATGTTCGGCGACTCATACAGAAATCAGAAGAAGGTTTGTATTGGAACTCAAAATCTCTACTTCTTTTCATTAAAAGAGTTCTTGTTTCTAATTATATTCCTCTACACTTTACAGTGTCGCCCATCAGCCGGCGCCAATCCACGTCCCGGTCCCCCACCCACTTTACCCGCACCAGTGCCATCGAATAGTCAAAATCAAAGTGCCAGTCGTATATTGAATACATCACAGAGTTTTTGTGGCGCCCCGAATGGCATACCTTCTGTAGTGGAACGTCGCAAACAACATAAACTACAAAATGGTCCACAAGCTGCACATGTGAGTTGTGGATCTCTGTTCAATGGAGATCCACTATAAACATTTTAAATTTTTTTCTTTTTTGCTTTCCTCTAACTAAAGAATCGTTCAATTCTTTCTGCTAAACATCAATATCAACAACAACAACAACAGTCCACATCAATGAGCGCTAGTGGCAATCAAATGAAACCCGCCGCGGCTGCGAAGACTTCATTGCATAGTAGTAATGATAGTGGCTTTGCCAATGAGCCGCCGCCACAACCTGAGGTGGACTACTCGGATGAGGAGCAAACGAGTCGTGTGCCAATACGGTGAGTGGTGCAGTAGTTGAAGTGATATTGCGTATTTGCTAACTTTTGATTGTAACTAACTTGTCTTAGAAGGTATTAAGTACATATTTAAAGCTTGCTGAGTACATATTTAAAGTTTTTTCTTGTTAATTTTGTGCTAATACAGTTTTATTTTTATTTGTTTCTTGGGAGAGATAGAGACTTTCTTTGAGAATTTATTGTGGTTCTCTTCATAAGTTACAGTTAGTCTAGATTAGAGTAGACAGAGAGATGTGTGAAATGATTTGAAATGGAGTGAGGCAAAGGGAGAAAAGAGGTTAAGCTCGGTGTAAACAAAGGAAGCATGGAGAGTGGCTTATGAAACTCAAAATCAGACTCACCTCCTCCGGTGAAGCCAAATCAAGTTACCTTAGAACCGCCCCAATTTTAGCTGAGCTTTCGGTGCAGCTTTCCATCAGTTTGCGTTGTCATTTAAGTTTTGGGGAGATTACAAATTGAGACATGATGGTATAAAGTTTCTTTTCATTCTACCGAAGGTTGCTTTCAAATCGTTGAGAGGTGGTGTTCTTCGATCCTTTTTTTACGGGTGTTTCCTAATACTCGGCGCTTTGTGAATATCTGAATGGTCTATCAATCGTGTCTAAGATCGCACTGATAAGGTCCGGTATGTTTATTGACAGTGGTTTTCTGTACTATTTCGCATAGTATATTCAATACCTTATTTGCGACAAGACCGATCTTCAATCTTCTCACGCTAACTGGGGTTTCCCTTCATATGGATTGGTCGGAGCACATTCAGGTTTCGATCGTGGGACATCCTTTCGCCGCACCATATTCTGTAAAGACACGGATGAATTAAGTAGGCTGAAGAAGTGTGTCGAGTAGATCAAAAGATATTCGTTCTCCTTGCTACATAAATCGGCTTCTTGAAGAGTTCAAAAATTTCATTTTTTTCTTTGTTCCCATGTAAAGGCGTCTGTCTTCAACCTTTGGTATTTTTCCCATACTTCCCATTTGCAAACAAGGCAATTTCAAGGCAACCCCACAGTTCCTTAAACCGGAATTTTGAAGACCGCTCTGAGAAAGCTGGACTGCAAGAATAGAAAATTGTTTAGCTATCTGCTGGGATGACAGTAACGACGAACCTAAGTTCGCCGATTAATGTGCCGAATCCACTCTCTTTGCACACACTGATATTGTGATGGCCAATCTCAACTTTGATAACGTTGTCGGCGTAGCAAAGAAGTGCGAAGAGGGCATTTAGGTTAAAGTGTCTTTGACCACATCGTACTCTTGACCTGTCGGGGCATGGACACAAATCAGTGATAAGTTAAGAACCCGTTTGTCCAGTTTGTGAACGATAGTGCTCTACGACGAAGACTCTGTCCCACCATAAATTCAACACCAAATTCGCTTCGAATGCTTTATGTGACCACTATAATAACTGTTCCACGGACCCATCCTTTTCAGTCTTTATCCCGTCCATAGCAAATTAGCAAATAGCTTTCATATTTCCCCTTCCCAATTACCTATCCAAGTATCAATATTTTTAAATGGACTAGTGTTTTACGCGACAGATCGTAAGCCCGGATGCTATCCGTTGAGGCGGTTGTTTATTTAATTAATCTTGGAGCCTTAGGGATTTTTTTATGGCAGTTGAAATTTTGAAATAATTATTTAGATTTTGATTTTAGGTTTATAAAGCTAAAGATTTCTGTCTCTCCACCTTATTGCTAATTTTTTAAATCATTTTATTTTTTTCTTAATTTTCTTTTTGTAACTCTTTTTCATTTCATGTCCCATTCATCAATTTTGTGTTGCTAATCGAATTTTGTTGCATTACCCTGTAAAAATAAAACGCATCATAAATACAATCGTACAATGCTAATACCGTTAAATTGAAATCCTTCACCAAAATCACACATTATAAAAAATTGGTTCAACAAAAAACCTCCAACCAAAAAAAAAAACACATAAAAAATTAAAATGAAATTGCCAAATGCAACACTGCCTGCCCAATCTCTTCAAACTATCGTGATACAACGGAACGAACAGTCGACGCGCTGACACGAACTCGCACATTTCACGCGACGTCGCCTCGTGGACGTTGAACCGCAATTTCCGCAATAGCGTCGACAGTCAAATTGACGACAAGAGCTTGCATGGACTAAGCCGACGCAACACGAAAATGCGTTACGATCTGATTGCAAGCGATGATGAAATATTGCAATCTTCGAGCGGCGGCATAAAACGTACGAAATCGTTTTGGAAATTCGGGGGACGCAGCGAAGATATATTAGCGGGTATGTCGTTGTGGCAACATCGCGATTTAGTTGCAGCGCCAAATTTGGAGGACTTGCGCACGGATAGTCCTCAGAGCAAGGAGAATGGACAAGTCGAACATGAAGTTGAGGCTGAGAATGAGCGTGAGCGTGAGCGTGAACGCGAAAAAGAGCGAGAGCGTGACCACAGCCGCGAGCTAAATAAGAACGGCACACTCACCAAATCACATTCGAACAACTCAACATCGTCTGCGGAGAAGCAACGCAACGAAAGCGTCACAAGCATGGAGGCATACGATGATGATGAGAATATCTATGGCATGAGTCCGGTTGTGAAACGGGAGAATATTATTGTACAAAATCGCAACTCTATGCAATCGAATGCGACCACAATGCGCGCGGAATATACGCCGAAATCGCGAATGAAGATAATGAAGACGATCGAGATTGACATTGAAAATCCGACCGAAAGCGAACGCCTGAGCACAATCAAGCGTGGGCAGAAGGAATATCAGAAAGAGTATCGTGAAACTGCGGGCGGCATGCTGCCACAGATCAATATGAACTCAACACGCGCTGGTGCGCATGGAGGACGCGGTGAACATGAGAGTAAGAGCAAGTCCGGCATGGGTGGCATGCAAGGCTCGCGTAATACGCTCAGCAACAGCCACAAGAAGCAGCAGATGAATAATGTCGATGGCGCAGGTGGTGGCAAGCACGCAAACTTGCAACAGATGAAGTCGAACGGTAGTGGCGGTCAGACACAGTCACGCAGCAAGCAACAAGACTTTCCCCACTCCACAGAGGATGAAGATTTGGACAGCGACGATAACGGCACGCTTAAGATGAGTGATGTTAACAACTTTTTCGACGACATTTCCCATGAGAACACCACCGGCGGCATGATTATGAAAACCGTTAAGCGCAAAGATATACTCAAGCAATACTACACCAGCGAAGATGAGTCCGATGACGTGGAGATCAAGTCAACCAGCTCTGATCCATACGATTGCATTGTCATCAACGATCATTTGGTGCGTAAAGACGAAAAACATCGACGTCAACTGCACAACTCCTATCAGGAGCATCAAATGGAATTCCAAACATTTCGCGCAACAACAACTTCAGCTGCCATGCAGCAGGGTAATAAAAAGAACAAATTAAATGGTGGCGGTGGCGGCGAGCAACGTAATGGCGCCACAATGGCAACAAGCGTCAGCGGTAAGTCCAGAAAACATCAAGACTTGCAGGAGAACGAGAGGGAGCGCGACCGAGATCGCGAGCGCTACAGTATGAATGGCAGTTCGACGTTAACGAGAAATTCAAATATCAGCGCCAATTCAGCGTTGAATACACCAACAGCGACGATCCTGCCACGTACACGCCTCATGAAGTCCAGCAATATGACAAGTATGACTTTGGAACGTACAACGAAAAATAAAACGCGCGAAAATGGGCATATGAGTGCCAATGGTGTCGGTGGTAGTGGTGGTGGCATTGGGGGTGGGGGTAATGACAAAGAGCATAAAATGCATTATGGCAAAACATATGGTCCGTGGTATGATTTTTGGGATCAACAAGATCAGCATACACTTGTGAGCCAAAAGTCAATGCATAATGGCAAGATGTGAGGACGAAATTTTCTATTTTCTTCTTTGGGAATGTAAATTTTAAGGAAACAGAGGCGCACATAAATATTTAGTTTTAAGATAAGAGTGAGAGTGCTTAGTTCTACAAGAGTCTTATGCTGTGTAGGGACCACTAGATGTTGGTTCATATAAAATCTACATAAATTCAGCTATAAATATATATAATTTCCCCATATTCTATAAACAGAGAAACGAGTTTCAGGCATTTCGAAATGAGCTGGCTGCCTCTCGTTTGGTTTTCCAAATCATGTAAATCGGTTTTAGAAAGTTCAAAACCAGACAGTTTGTGGGTCGCTGACCATCCCAAACCATTTTGCATCCGTCGAAACAGCCAGTTGTTGGAAGGAAGGTCTGGGCTACATGGTATAGTACTCGATTTCGATTACTAGAATACCCAATTTCCAACTTAGATGCTTTTTGATAGATTTTTGGCCAAAAATTTAAGATCTGTAGAAATCGGGTTGTGGAAACTATATGTGACAGTCGCCTGATTTCGATAATTTTCAGCATCAATGTATAAATCATTATGTGTGTGCATAATACCAAAATTTACGCTTCTAGATGCTCTTTGAACGCATTTCTCGTCTGCTATCAGAAAACTCTGTCGAATATTCGCTAAAGTGGTCCGATCTGGCCGGTTTTCAAAAACTGAGGGACGAGCAAGTTTACAAACTGACAGACAGTTGAACTCAGCTTGTCATTCTGACCGAATACGTATGAATTTTGATGAGACTAGCTCTTCTCCTTCCGGTACTTACATACTCCGCACCGAATTTCATATAACATTTCATGTACTTGAAAGCTAAATAAAAAAGGTTTGACAATAGGACCCTCCTAGCCCACACCTCGTCTTTTTGAATTCAATAAAATGTCCACCGTAAAAAATTTTAATACCTTTGCGGCGCCTAAAATCAACTTGCCTCATGCATCGAGAAAAAAATCTACATGTAATTTGCTAAAGCATATATTTTATGTCTCCAAAAGGCAGGCAATTCTCATATGGTTTTATTGGAAAAGCTCATAAGATTTTTTTTTTTTTTTTTTTTATTTAATAATAAAAGTGTTATTATTTTTTTACGACATAATGTTTGTTTTCATCTCAAAGAAGCTTAAATGTAATGTCCATATGTAATTTAACATATCTATATTCTATATATGTTGTGTATATACCACTTTTATAATAGATATGCTACATAATCAGTCTTCTATTCACACATATGTAGTTATGAGCCCTCATTTTTCGCTAAATATTGCATCGCTTGAAAATACATACATATCTGTTCATTATTTATACGTTACTACAGCTCATGACTTACTATTCATAATTGGCTGAATCCATGTTTTAGAAAAATTCGCTTCCTTTTTAAAAAATCTGTATTCTTCCTCTTCTCTATTTATATGTATTTCTAGAAAGGGTGGTGCCTACCGAAACATTTACATAGACTTCTAAAGCAAAAATTTTAAATTCCAAAAAAAAAAAACAACACACAAAGAGCTTATAGCTAAAACCCTGAACACACGTTACACTACACACGAAATCATCAACAACAAAAACAATAAAGAACAAAATAGCCGGTAGCTGGTATGAAACAGCGCTTAATTGGTTAAAAATATAAACGAAATAAATTAAAAAAAAAATCGAAGAAATTGAAATTTAATTTGAAGAAAAATTATGCAATTTTATTACAGTTATATATTAGTTTGTATATGTGTAAACAAATTTAATTAACCATGCTATATACATTTAAATGTTTTCGTAGCAATTTGAAAACGCAGCTAAAATTAATTAAACTGAAATGATATTTTTAAATATACATTATAAATATATAAATATGTGTATAATAATAAATATATAAAAAAACTAAAATCGTAATCTGTTTAATATGTACATATATAGAAATATATATTTTTTTTATTTACAAACCTTACTTTTGTATTAAAAAAAAGTACTCTATAATTCACTACTAATATGTTTAAATCTTCTCTTCACTCCTACTTCTTCATCTCTTGATTTTTACTATATAAACACTTAAATACATACATATCTACCCACTTAAATAGTGCATGCCAATTTGCCACAGTCAAACTGCGTCACACCAAAACTAACGATCGTTCAGCTCCAATGATTTATCGGAGCATTAATAAGTAGACGTTCGTGTTGAATTAGTTTTAAAAGTAAAAGAAAAATAAATTAATATTAATTATTGCAGGATATTTTATGAAATAAAAATATTTTGTGCAAAAAAAATATATATTATTAAAAAATATATTATGAGAAGGAAAAATATTTTATTAAAAATATTTCATAAAAACACGTATATATTAAAAAAAAAATTAAAAAACAAATATTTTATGAAAATAAATTTATACATACAAATTATTGCAAATAAAAAATTAGTAGTTAAATTGTTTATGGAATTTGATGTATGCCCAAATAAATTACAACATTCTTAATTACTTTATTTCATTTTTTTCGTCATATATGTAAGTAACTAGTTAAGAATTGTATGTACTTCAAAAATATTTGTTACAATGTATACAATGTATGTAATCGTTTATTATGAATAAAATATAATTTTTTTTATTTGTTTATTTGTTTTTTTGTACTCTTTGCAACAAGGCTGATGTTTTCGGTAAGTTGTAGCAGGGCAATATTAGGTTAAGTCCTTTGTGAGCCGCTTTGTGAAACGAAAAGGATCTTATATTTTTGTTTGAAGCTAGTATGGTGTCCTAGAACATATCCCTAACCCAGAGCAATAAAAGATAATAATAAATAGAGAACAGAAGATGCAGATCAAGATAAAAAAAAAATAAAAATTATTGCAAAAAAGTAAAATAAAAATATTAAAAAGTAATTATAAAATATTAAATTAATTAATAAGTTAATTTTCTACAACTAGAAGGATACACCTTGCAAGGTGCTGTATTTCTATGTTGATTTTTTTATTTCACATTTACATAATATGGCATTTAATACCTGAAACAGAGTTTCGTAGGCAGCAAAGAAAATATGGAATACACAAAAAAAAATTACTAAATTCTCCATGTTGCACGTTATGACTCATAATGCCTTACTATAGGTATTGAAAGCAGTAATAAACTTAATTTTAAAAGCACCACACATACCTAAAAATGCTACCGCTTGCATGTGAGCCAATATTTTCTATGTCCTTGCCAAAAAAATAGTAATAAAAAACTCAAAAAAAAAAAAATTAAATAATAAATTGACCCCAAAATGATGTACCAATTTTGTATTGGTGTTTGTTGGAAAACACCATACGCCCACACAATCATAATATAATTATAAATAATAAATAAATAAAAAAGAATCGATTGATTTGCTGAGTAAACAAAAAAAAGAGAAAATTAAAAAAGCAAAAATTAAAGTAAACTAAAAATTTACATATCGAATATTAACTAGCAAACAAGACGGCGCTATTTTTGCAAGAGGAGCAAGCAAATTTATGATAATAAACAAACAGAAATACGAATACAACATCAGCAAACAGTTAAACAATATATGGGTAAATTTTAAGTCTGCTAATATTCTCACCATTTACTTTTTTTTTTAGATGAACTCAATGCCAATGGCAAAAAATTCGATACTGCCACAATGCTTCTTCATTCGCTATTGATTTAAACTATAAATTCCCAGAACACTTTTTATAGAATGTAAGCATATTTAATATTTTTTCATGATCTTCTCTCCAAAATTTAGCTTAATCTCACCTTGAGCAAGTTTTTGGACTAAATTCGTTACAAAAAGGAAATTTGGATATTTTAAATAAATATAAAAATTATTGCTTGCGGAAAAAAGTAAAGAAAAAAATTATTTACAGTAAAATTTTATTTAAAATAAGATTTTTAAATAAAATAAACTTTTATATAAATTTTTTTTTTTTTTTTTTTTTTTCAAAAAACACTAATTATTATTACATTAAAATATATTTTTTGAATGAAAAATCAAAACCCAAATGCGCTTGTTTGACCATAATGCAGAGATGGGTGCCTAAAATATAATTTTTGCTGCTTCTGTGAATTTTTCAAAGACATATCTTTTAACATTAACAAGCAAGCTTCTTTTAAAAATTACATAAAACGAATATTATCCACCGAATTGCGCCACATATGCCATTATTGATTCGTGATAAATGCACGCCATAGTATGATTTACTAACAATATTTGAAAATTTATTGAACTTGCGCCAAATAAATGTGAATGAAACAATAGTAATAATATATCAAAGGATAATTGTGCATATGTGTGTGAGAAAATACCCATTCAACTAAAACAATATATTACTTTGATGCACAAGCACATGTAACATACATATAGAAAGTGAAAAAACTGATTGCATGAACTTGAAGCTCAATCAGCTGCGATTGTAGAATAATTTATATTTGTTTGTAAGTTGGTAAGTAAATACTATCATATGGTGTTAAGTACATTTAAATTTGTTCTAAATACTTATAAGCTTTCACATACATAAGTTTGGTTGCATGCAACCTTTTGCTTAATAATGACAAGTGTTGCTATTGAATACTAATGCAATAGTACTTAGACACATACAAGAGCGACACCCTGCAATGGAAAGCTTAACTAGTATGCCAAAATTCTAGTTAAATACTAGTAAGTAAAAAATATGCATTCACACCCGTTCGCTATTTGTTGGCGAAGGCCTTCATTGTTTTCACCAGCAACGGAGATGCTAATAATTCCCACCATTACCATTACCACGCCACTGTTATGTTATGTTAATGCTAAGCACTCCACACGGGTATGTTATATTCCCTGTTAGGCTCTGTAAAAGTGCGTTATGCACTTTACATTATCATGTTAGCCGAATGTGACTTTTCCGCTTCAGCTGCATGGTTCGGGTCTCGCTGCAAGCAATTTTGATTTGTTTTTTATTTTTATTTTTATTTTTGGTGGTGTAGAAATTCAACATGCAAATTGGGGAAAAATGGAAGACGAACTGGTCAATGTAAAAATGCAAACTAGTTCGATTCTATTTAGCAACTTGCATTTTTTCCTGCAGAGTACTTACCGCCTTTGTGTATGTGTGTGTATGTGTGCGAGGCATTTGTTAGTTGTGCAAAAGTATATAAGTAAAATCAAAATGGAAGTTCTGCTGTCAACTGGATTTCCTGCAAAACGGCGGCCTGCCACCATTTCATTTTAACACCGTGAAAACTTAGACGTGGCTCTGACTGAAAGCACACACGAGTACACATGTGTTTGCGATTTTTTTTTTTTTTTTGTATTTTCTCTTTTCCTTTTTTGTGAAGTGTGAAGTAAATTTCAATTTCACTTAATTTTCGAATGACTGGCAGGCAAGCAAGCAAGCAGGCAGCTGCCACTATGCGGTGCAGCGTAAAAGTTTGTTTTCGGTGGGGCTGAGCGGCACAGCGCAGGGTGATTTTCACTTATTGAGGCGCTAAAAAAGTTGCCTAATCGCAAGAAATTTACACCCACTTAAATATAATATTTTCATAGCGCAATAATAGTCACGCCTACTTGCTGTTAAATATGCAATTGATTTTCAAAATGCAGGCAATAATTTTACAAGTGAACTTTCAAAAATATATAAACATTTGTAGGTGTATTTAAGGTTAGAAGTGTCTAAATGGTCGAGACCTATAAAAATTGTGATTTACAAGTATTGGTAATGTATTATTATGGGTTTTGATAATTTTATACAATTGTATGTATCGGTGTGCGCGCACTCACGGTATTCCAAATTAAAATTAATTTTTTTAAGTGTGCGTGTATAAAATGCAGGAGGGATAATTTTTGTTTGCCAGTTAACTCGTTCAAAGGCGTAAAAACTGAAATTGTGAACTTTTCAAATCATTCCGCTGTGAGCAGCGTAACGGTGTAAACGTTTAGTTTCGGTTCGTCGGGAGTTTACAAAATTTTTATTAAAAAAAAAAATTATATTCTATTAAATAAGTAGCTGAGTGTTTTTAAAAAAGCCAAAAATAATATAAAATACGACAAAGAAATTATATAATATTAAACTAATAATAAATATAATATTGAACTACTAGTACATAGTTTTTTTCGGAATTGCTCCAAGTCAATAAAATTTAAATCATGAGCTCCCGTTTTATAGCCGAAGGTGGTACGCCTATATCACCAGAACTAGCAACGGTAAAAGAAAAATAAAAGAAGAAAGAAGTGCCGACTTTGGAAATTCCGAAGTCTTAAGATTGGATATTAATTCTTATAACTGAAAAACTAGTTGGAAGTGGCTTCATGATATAATCCTCCACTTCAATGATTTACAAGTCCAATATTTATTTGACTCCACATGTGCATTATACTAAATTTGACCCTTTATAATGTCAGCCGGCATCGACAAATGATCTTTGAAATGTGCCAGTTAATCTGTGGTTCAGGTTTGTTTATTTGATATTTCTTAAAGCCTGAGGAACATGCTTGAGTACGAAGTGACAGATAGACGGACATGACTAAATAATCATTGTGCGTCGAACGGTATAAATTTTGATGATACTATGTCTTCCCCGCGGTAGTCGAGTGGTTAGCATTGCGTACTGCCAGTCGGTAGGCTCGGGTTCAAATCCTACACTACGAACATTCAAAAAGTTATAGAGTATAAAAAACCACCACAACTGTACAACTGTAGGTCGCTCCATTTGTTGGGAAACATCAAGATGCAAAAGCACAAATTGAAGGTAGAGCTCGGCCGAAGAAATTGTTTTTCTTGTCAGAAAAAAGCTTGAAAAAATCATCATTCCTTCCCAAACGACGTTCGAAAAAAAGAATAGATGTTGCAGCGATTGATCTAAGCAGGATGCGAGTCCATGATTCACCAGTCTGATGGTTTCGTAAAGTTAAGCAAAACTGGATTGAGAGAGAGATGGACACTGACGGAGCACATGGTTAACTGTTTCCATATCTTCTTCTTCCTCGCAATTGCGACACTGGTTTTAGGTGCTCTCATAACTAAATTTGCACATTACTTATTTGGACAACACATAAGTTTTTCTGCCATCAAAAAGCTGTCTACAGACAAGTAGTAGTCAGCAATGCCGCCAACCTATCCAATTATATATATGTGCTTTCTGCATCTTCCTGTAGTTATTCATTGGTTGCTCTACTACTCTCTGCTATAACTAGTATCTCCACTTAGAAGATATTGGCTGAGTTTGGTGGACGTCAGGGAAAATAGATGCTCAAAGTATATCTTAGCTTTCATTTTGTAGTTCACTTTAGTATTGTCGATATGTATTGAGATGGTTCCTCCTACAATATTTGTGCTGCATTCGCGTCTAAGGGTTGTACACACCTGATAGAAACTGTTGAAATGCAATCTTAGAAGTGTCTAGTGTTATTTACCTATAAACGTTAAGAACTGGCTCAGTTTATCATTATGTTTATATAGTTTTTGTTCCAAAAGTCTCACTCCACTCAATCTAAAAGTGGTAATAGTTGCCACTTTGGAAATAGAATAGGAAAAGATCCCGTAGCCTCTGCATAGGTTACCCTTTGTGCTCTTTCTAATTCTCTAATAGTGTACAGCTTCTCTAGTGCCATAAAACCAAAATTCCATACTTCAAAATTGGTATAAATTTTCTGTTCCTGAGCCTAGTTTCAGAGTTCTCTTGCAAGCCATACATGTCTATTCCATTTATTTCTCAATAATAATAATTTTCTATTTTTATAAATAATTTTTATTACTTTTCTTCAACTTCCATCACAGGAACTTCGTCAATTAGTTTTCGGCACTTCCTCCATACCCATGCGTGCCGAGTGGACACAAACTCCCTTCACATTTGGCCCAGCCAAAGAAGAACTCTCCTATGGACTGCGTTCACCACGCAATGCTACGCGTGGCATGCTGTCTGTTGTGCAAGGTTTCATACTGAAATATCTGCTCTTTGCACGCCGTGGACGCAATAATCAAGAGTATGTCAAAATATCTATTAATTAAATGAAATCATAATTATCTCAAAATCATTTTACTGCAGCCCTTTGGTTTGTACACAGGAAATGCAAACGAATGCGCTCATTAATGCTTTGGTGGAAATTCTACGTATAATATCCGATAAGGGCAAAGTGACTATGGTTTTGCCGTCGCCAGATGAAGAGGTTTTCATTGAACACAGTGTGACTTTCTTTCATGATTCGGTGACTGAGAAGGTGTGTGGGTTGCTGAGTTTAACTATAGTTGAAAATAATTAAATTTTACTTTTATATGCATATATGATTTTTAATATTTATTTTCGTAAAGCTATATGTATTCACACTATCACCACATGATGAGCTGGAGTTTTTCATTAAGCGTCACCTGAAATTGGTAAATTATGAAACAGTGCAATTTTTTAACCGAAATAGGAATAACTAGAATTATATGTTATCTATTCCAAACTGCACAGTTTACAGAAGAGGATTCACCTGGCACACTGCTATTCTTATATAGCGCTGTTTTGACGCGTTCTATGAGCAAGTAAGAATATTCTAGAATAAATCCTGCGAAAAGTTCGTTTTGGGAATGTATACTTAGTTCATACGCAAAAAAAAATAATAAAATGTTCCTCGTAGATAATTTTTATTGACTTATTATTATTTCCACTTCAGAATTCGCAATGATCTGGACTCCAATAGTAAAGCAGTTCCACTGACAATGCCCAATAATGAGGAAGGCTCTTTGATGATCGTCACTTTACTTTTGACGGGTCGCGCTACGCCTTATTTGCATAACGGTGTGGTGAATGTTGGCGATGAGAATACTTATGTGAGTAGAGTGGCTTTTCATGCTTCTGGTGGAAATCGCACGTACCTTCTGCGGTGTATAATGTTATTGTATGCATAATTAATTTAATTTTATTAATCTCACTTCCATTAATTTAATTAAATTTAATTTTATTTAAATTTTCTTTATTTCACTTCATTTATTTTAATTTAAATTAATATAATATATTTAGTATTAATTTAATTTTTTTAATTAAGTTTAATTTCATTACGATTCAATTTATTTTTTTTATATATTTTAATTTAATTTTATTTTAAATTGTTTTATTCTGTTTTTTTTTCAGGTTAATTTATTTTTACTTACTTTCGGTTAGATTAAATTAATTTAATTTAATTATATTTGATGTTGTTTTGTTTTAAATTGTGTTGTGGGATATTATCATATCTTGTTTTAGTTTATTTTCAATTTGGTTTAATTCAATTTTATTTTATTCTGGTTAACTTAATTTTTTATCTAATTTAATTTAATTTAATTTAATTTGATTTAGTTTACTTTTACTTCAATTCAATTGCTTTTACTTTATATATCTTAATATAATTTAATTTAATTTTTTGTATTAAGTTTAATTTTATTACAATTCAATTTATTTTTCTTTATATATTTTAATTTAATTTTATTTTAAATTGTTTTATTCTGTTTTTTTTGGATTCAATTTAATTTAATTTTACTTTATTTCAGTTAAATGAATTTAATTTAATTTAATTATGAGTGATATCATTTTGCTTTAATTTATGTTGTTGGATATTATCCTATTTGGATATCCTAAATTAGTTTATTTTCAATTCGGTTTAATTTAATTTAATTTATTTCGGTTAACTTAATTTTATTACCTGATTTAATTTAATTTAATTTGATTTAGTTTACTTTTACTTCTTCAATCTATTTTACTTTATTTATTTATAATATTATTTAATTTTTTATTTTCAAAACAATTTAATTCATTTTTTTAATTATTTTGATAATATTTCTATTGAATTTAATTTAACTTTACTTTATTTTAATTTATTTAATTTTATTTAATATGTTTCATTACTTTGTTTAGTTTTTTTTTATTATTTTATTTTATATATATATATATATTTTTTTTTTATTTAATCTTATATTATTTTATTCCTTTGATGTTACTTTTTTAATTTTATTTATTTTTATACTTTATATTATTTTGTTTTATTTTATAACGTTTTATATTATTTAATTTAATTAGGTTTCTTTTGTTTGACTTTATTTTAGGTTATTTATTTTTTTTTTTGCTTAATTTATTTTATTATATTCTCTATTTTAATGTATTTTGTTTTAGTTAATTTGTTTTATTTTATTTTTTTGTTTAATTTGTCTTGTTTTTTCACTTCTTTAATATGAATTATTTTTTTATTTTTATTTTCTATTTTTTTCTGACCAGTTTTTTACACAATAAATACACATACGTGTATTTTCAGGCAATCCCACAATATGGCATACTTAGCCGCTGTACCATCGGATTTTTGCTTTGGGATAATGAGAACTCACAGGTAATAAAATTCAATTTCAAAACCAAAAAAGTTTTTTCTAAAAGACTATTAAATCATATTTTCATAAACTCATTCAATATTTTCCTCCTCATATATTCCACAGCCTTCCGTGGCCGCCGCCCGCCAACCCGGTTCACGTCTCAAAACGCCCAACTATCCAATTTGGATTACCAGCTGTTGTGGTCACTTTGGTGTGGCTTTCAATCGGAATCCGGAACTTTTACGAAATTATCACGCCGAATCGCGGTTTGATTTGAATTATTACAGCTGCTCTGGCCACAATGTTTTCATGACTATCGACAATCGTGTTTACAACGAGCAGGCGACTGGCATGTTGGAGCGTCAGGCGACCACGGAGGGCACTTCATCCATATCGGGCGGTGGTGGGCGTAGAGATGACGAGGCAGGTGGTATTGTGGGCGGTGGTGGTGGTGGTGGTGGTGACAATACCGATCTGTTGGCACGTGAGGAATTGACAATGAATACGCCGTTACAACGTTTAATACACACTAAATGGGAGGAGGCGCACATACGTTTCAATGTTCAGCCATCCATGTTGAGTTATCTATTTTGCACAACACCATAAACGACACCGCTCTCTCTCTCTATAACGAGGACCAGTGAGGATGTTAGCGCGCATTCATATTGCATTTCACTACATATGTATGCGGGTGTTTTTTTTATCGAAGGCAAGCGAATTGTAACTGTTATGTCGATTTCATAAATCGTTTGGAATGCAATGAAGTGTGCTCGGACGTGCAGCTGTGCTTTTCAATGCAATATTTTTCGACGCCTGCAAAACGCATTTTCACAACGCAAAATCAACAAAATGGAAATAGAGTAAATTCGTTCTTCTTCTGCTACTGACGGCTTTAACATAAGTAGAAAAATATAATATTTTTGTTAAATAGAAAATATTTTTGCACTTCAAGCTTTGAGGGTGAATAGTATAGAAATAGGAAAATGTATAAATAAAAAATATTTTTCGCTGATTTACGCTTAAATGTTGTAGTTTTATTGTTGGGAGAAAAATTTTGCCATAAATTGGTACTTCAAGTAAGTGGCTCACATGGAAAATAATAAGGCATGGTGGGTTGGAAGAAGTGTTTAAAGCAAATACTTAAGGCACGTAAGGTATAAATGAAAACGTAATGCTGTTTCCTTTTTTTTTTTTTAAATAAAAAAACTTCTATATATATTTTTTTATAATTTATTAGTTCGTTAATTTTTTAATACTTGTTTAGTATTTTATTTTTTGGTATTTTTATTATATTTTTCACACCTTTCAATCAAAATTTTACAATTTTTAAATTTTTTACCATTTTTCCTTCATCTGTCTTTATTTCCCTTGTTCTCTTTACAAGTGGTATATATGTATTTACAAAAAAGTTTAAATAACATACTTGTATTTTATTATTATTACCTTTAAATGTTAAATATTTTACGGTTTTTTTGGGCTTGGCTCACAATATCAGAGTTTTGAATACATAATATTACTACAAATACTTATTATGCATGTATATACATATATATGTATGCAGTTATACAATATTTTCCACTTATTTTATTACAACAATTTTTTTAAGAGACTAGCTACATACATACACACGTGTAGTTACTTTACTCATATGTATATTATATATTTTTTATGTAATATATATCATAATATATTTATTTAATATAAATGTTTATATACATTAGCTTAACAATAATATTTCTTAATAACATTTTTTTAATATTATTTCAATGTTTATATTGTTTCAATTGTTTTTAATTTATATTTATTGTTTTTTTTTAATATAATTTATTAATACATTTTAGTTTTTTAATTTCGACCGTAGTATTCCAAAAACGTTGTATATGCACTTAAATTACAAGTATGTATGTAATATAGTAAAATTAAAACAATACCAGTTAATACTGGCTATTAGAAAAAGGTTAAAGGTCATTTTGAGAGCTCATGTAGTTTTATCATTTGTAGTTTTGTTGTTTAATTCTTCTTATATAAAAGTTAATTAATATATAAATAGATTATTAGATTATAGAAATGTCTTTAGTTGCTAAATATTTTTTGAAAAAACATTCGTATTTATAAAAATGTTTTTTTTTTGTAATTAATATATTGTTAATTTGTTTATATTAATAAAATTCTTCTATCTTACCACAAACCTTAATAAATATTTTGGACTTTTATAAAATTTTAATTTTTTTCGTTATATTTATCAAAATTTAATAAAATCAAAAATATTTATTAAGGTAAAAATGTGTTTTATTTATTTTTCATATTAAATTTAAAAAAAAAACTATAAAAGTAAAGGTGAATATTGTAAAAACTTCAAAAGTGTTGAGATACTAAAGGAAAAGTGCATTTTATGTTATAAGTTGAAATTGTTTATTTGAAAGTTTACATTGGCCAGTTTATTAATAAACATTGCATTTGGATATCAAAATTTATCAGAGAAGGTATGGAGTTCTTTTGTATTTATGTATTGTTTTTTTTATATATAAATTTTTTCTAACGAATTAAAGTTTCTAAAGTTCGCTGGAAAAAATGATAGAATTTTTCAAATTCAAATAACAAATGCTTCTTGACTTAATTTTATTTATATATATTTTCAGTTAATTTTAAAACTTAAAAACTTTAGTACGCAATTTAAGTTATTTGTATATATTTTTGTTTATAGGCCTTTTTTTTTAGAAAAAAAAAGAAAATTTTTGAAATTGAAAAGAATTGTTTATGTCATTTACTGACCAGACCACGAGCTATTTATTCTAGATAGAAACCCAGGGAAGAGGGAGGTGTGCCAGGTTATGCAGACGCGATTCACTTGGGCAAGAGTCTACTCCAAGGACTTGGCATCTGTAATTCCTTGTAACTGCCGGATCACTGTGTAGTGTTTTCCAAGCAGAACTGGTGGTCATGCAGGAGCTTGTCAACTAATACTTAGGTCAAACTTGTACTCTTGATGAAATGTACCTTTATTTTTTGCAATATCCAGACAGAACAAGGAGTCTTGAAAGCTATCACTATAAATTCAGAAATGGGGAAATACCTTAAAAGAAAGACCATTTCGCTTTAATGGAAAAGTCAGCTCATCATAGTAAGAGAGACAGCAGGTGTCTTCTGCGTACTCAAGTTGGAATAATCTCATTTACTGGAATGTAACTGAAATGCTGTTCGGTCGAGAGTGCTTATCTAGCTAAAAGGGAAATAAAAAAGAAAAGCCCATGGGGTGGTATTTCTAAGGGGCATCTTCTATTTGATAGACATGCAGTGAAACTGAGCATACCAACAAATGACTTACAGTAAAAGTGAAGAAAGAAATCATGAAATATCTAAAAATAGCTCTGAAATTACCAAAAAGTTTTCAAAAGCATAAAAATGCTGTATTTTTTTTTTTTAAATTTTATGTTGTTATTATCACTGATTGTTAAGAATATTTGTTTTATTTTTTTAATTATATTATGATTTCATTTAATGATTCTCTCCTAAGTACGCACATCGCATTCGAAAGTTAATTAGCATTAATTTAAGATTATTCGCATTTACATTAGATAAATGTTTGTTATATATGTATGAATATGGGAATATTGCAATTGCAGATTTTATTTATAGAAAAGTATTGTGTTGAAATTGGAAAAAATATTTGCTTCATATTCTTCTTCTTAAAGCTAGTCAAATATAGCTATTTAATAAGCTAAAGGATATTTTTTTAGACATGTGGTTTTCAGGATGACATGAAACGCTAATAATTTAATATTATGAGCAAAAGCGTAATTGCGAAGATAAGCGTTTGCCATGCTTTTTTTAAAATGATTACGGTCAAGTGACTGCCGCGACTGTCTCGAATAAATTTTAGCCAAATTAGCCGTATTTCAGCCAAAACGCACCCATTCCAAGGACTTCAAATAAAAGTTCAGCGGTGTTAAATTGGACGATTTTTAGAGGTCACGACTCGAGATAATGCATGGAATGTTATTGTTGAACCAACGATGGTCCACAATAACATCTTCCAATTCAGGCACGAAAAGGTCATTAATCAAGACTCTAGACTCTAGCGGTGTTCATTTACTACAACAATGGTTTGTTAACTATCGTTCCTACAAATGTTAAAATTTTTTTTTATCTACAAAAAAATTAAATTTTTTTTGTTGAAGTCGGAATCGGTAGCCATCTCGTTTTGAGCCTTAGACCTAGAAACCCAGAAATGGCTTGTAGCTTCTTCTGTTCGGCTAGTCACCCAAAAAGTCGGTGAAATTTCGCAACTGATGAAGCAAGATCGGCACGAAAGCTATCTGACGATGGCGACACAGGCATTATCCGAATCATTCTGAGCTCTTCTGTAGAGTTAATCAACCAGCTTAGAAAATCATACAGAATTGATCAATAGAGGTTTAAGTTAAGTTAAGCCGTTTGATGCGCCCTATACAGACCCGTTGCTCTTGTGTAGGGCCAGATAAAGGTACATGAATTGCATAGCTCCGAGATATCGAAGACGAGTTTAACAGTGGAAGACAGAATCAGCGGAGGTGCTCTAACTTGGAAGCGTTCCTCCCAACACTTCCTACATGTGCCACTGCTAATAGGATGCTAGGATGCTATGCGCATAGGATGTCAATAGGTTGTGGCCTCGTCATTTGGGCCAACACTATCCTGCAGTCCTTACGTGAACGTTTTGGCGTGAAACGAGCGTTTCCTTTGCTGCTCTTAGCCAAGAGTTTGGTCCTGTTTACGCGTTACAGCTATGTCGTTATTCATAATACTCCTAGTGCCCTTGTTGCCCAGTATATGTATATGCAGCCACTTAGTGATCGACCGGCCTGTCTACTGCTGATCAATAGAAAATGTGCTTAATTTTTCAAAACAAGGTTTAATCCATATATTTTATCTCCCTACAGAAAGACTGCTTTTAATGGCTTCAACACTCTAGAAGTATATATATGTAAGTTGGTTTGCGACGCGAAAAATGTAAATTGCAACATTAATACAATCAGTATGATTGCAGATATTCGTGCATACATATATATTTAAATTTGTCTGTATATGTACAAATAAGTACTGTTAAATGTTTATACTGTTTTATGTATTTGGTGCTTTGCATTATAATGAAATAATTAATTATTTATTTCTAAAATTATGACGATTTTATTTTCACGTTTAGAATAGTCTTTTATTTTGTGTATTTAATAAATATAAAAATTGGAATTTTTTTGTATATAAATTTGCAATTATAACTATACTTATTTATGATTCTTCATCTCAAATATTTACTTTCTTATCATTATTTTTTGGTCAATATGTAAACTAACTAATGTGCGTTGATTAGTTTGTATGTAGTTAAATACTATAAATCGATTAATTTTAGCGCAAAAAAATATTTTTCATTTTTTATTCTTATTGTATTATTATTTAATTTGCAAAATAAATCTTATTTTATTTTTATTTTAATTGTTTAATAAATTTATTTTTTTCATTTGCCCTTTGCAGTTTTCAATAACTTATTTAAACTCTACTAGCTTCATTTTGTAGCTAACTACAGGCGTTTGGTTTTTTATTTTTGTTTTTACTTTATTTTTATTTCAACTTTTATTCTTTTATTTTTATCTTCATTTTTATTAATTTCTATTTTTGGCGTTTTTTTTTTTGATAATTTTTTTTTAATTTCTTCAACAATTAGTGTCATTTACTTTCTCTGCATTTGGACGTTTTTCTGTAACTTTCGTTGACTTTTTCCGCTTAACCAACTTTTTGGTCTTGTCACTTTTCATAGAGTAAATTTGTTGAAATTAATTAGCTTTTAGTTGAACATGCAATTTTAATTGCGATAACACGCGATTTCATGAATAGAGATTGTTTTTGTTTACATTCGCTGAAGGTCTCAGAAAATATTGCATAATTTTGGGATTCGTTTGTAAAGAGAAGAGTTTATTACGTGTAAAACTTTTGTATGATTTTGTATTCACAGCGACATTTAATAATTTTCGTTTAAGATTTTTTTTTAGTATTTTGTCAAAGGCGTTAGAAGTTTTTCTAAAGACCTTAACAAAAATTCCTCTTTTCAAAATAACAAAAAATTTTAGAAAAAATTGAAAAAATGCAAAAAAGAAAAAATTAAAAAAAAATATATTTAAAGAATTGAAGATATGTGCAAAAAAATAAAACAAACTAGATAAATGCAAAGAAATGAAATGAGTTCCGAAAAAATGCAAAAAATAGCAAGCAAATAAATGAAAGCAACTTATTCATTTTGAGCTATGAAACTCGTAATTTGAAATGATCTTAACATTACTTTTATATATATTTATTTTTGAATTGTAGGAAACTCAGTTGTTTTGTATTTCTTAAAAATTTAATGTTTACAATTTAGTTTTAATATTTTTAAACCAGTTTTCGAACTCGATAGAAGTACAAATTTTTAACAACTTAAATTATTTTAACTTAGAATTATGAACTTAACTAATTTATTATTAAAAAATTTTGAGCCTACAAAACTTACAAAAATATCACTTAAACAATTTTTATATACATTTTTATCAATATTAAATATTAACCTTACTTTAAACAATAATTCGCTTTATAAAAATAAATTTGAATTTTACATTTACTTTTTGCTTAACATTTATTTTTTGTTTATTTATTTAAAAAAAAATGCTTTGGTCAAATTACTTACAATACACACGATACACTTTTAATACATAATGGTATTTAAAAAAAAAGCTGTACAATTTAATAGTAACTAACTAATTAATTTTGTATTTGTATATAATAAAGTTTTTTATGCGTTTTGTGCTCACTCTTTTTTTTATTTATTTTTCTGCCTAAAAACAATATACATAATTAATTATCAATAATAGGTGTATAAATATTATTACTTTTAGTTTTTTGGTTAAGGATCTATGCCACTTTACAGCTCTGCCTTCGCTGTACATAAAGCTTCACATACTCATAAATATATGTATACTACAAACATCCCCCGCCAGCTTACGTACGCACTAGAAATTTATTCAACTCCACTAAATTCGTATCGCCATAAGTAGATACATTTAGCGCCGCAGCGTTGGCGTTCTTCTTCGTCTGCGTGTGCCACGTAAGAATCTGTAAGAATATTTTTTTTTTTTTTTTGTAATAGAAATATATTTTTTTCTTTTAAATAAATGCTTTGGCGCTACCTCTGTGCAATTGGATGCTAGCAGCTCAATTTCAGTCAAATTTAATGGGGCCAAACTTTTTAGGAAACCGTCCTCTTCATAGCCCGGCTTGAAGGGCATTTTCGCATTGGGCCGTTCGTGTAGAAACTTGACGCTCACCGCAAAGCCAGCCATATCGACGGGAAATTTACGCCCGCCTATCCAGCCATCGTAGAAACCTTTGATTTTACCTTCACGTATGATGGGACTACTCACGCCGAATTGGGTGACCAAGCCGACGGGCCACATTGAAACCTTTTTTGTGTAGCGCATCTAGTTGGGGAAGGAAAGAAAAAATAAAATCCACTTAGCAGTTTGTGAAATAAGAAGAGGGTAGGGAGAAGGGAAATTGTAGAAGTCCACAAAATATTATTTTCCCCTCAAAACCCACCTGTTCAAATATGGAGATGTCATATGTATTGTCATCATCTGCGAAGTAGAAGACGCCACTGGTCGCATTAGCGCGTATATACTCCAAACCACGATTACGATTTGAGACGCCACGTGGTTTTGTCTTTTTCGCCTTTTTGTACTCCTCCGGCATGGGCGCTGCAGCACAATAAATTGGTAAGAGGAGGAAAGAAAATAAGTTGAAAAAAATATGATTGAAGAGAAAGTGATAAAAGCAATAAAATTGTGAATAATCAAATTGTATGTACAAAAAAAAAAAAACAAGAGTAAAAGAGCGCTAAGGCAGGATGTAGGCAGTAAAGGAGAGATGAAAGAAATTCTTAATGGAGTTCTCGCAGTGCTATGCCGCGGGCAAATTATTTGTGACAAAATTAGTTGAGTGATGAGTTGATGACGGCATCTTGTTGGCAGATGCCCTTGGAAAGAAATTCAAGTGCACAAAGGAAAGTAAAAATAAAATGAACAGAAAACAGTGAAAATGATAATAATTGGGAGGAATTTACGGCACAAAGCAAAGATAGTAAGTGCAAATGGCATAAATGTAGTAACCTTTTATAAATGAATGTATGTATATATGTATATATAGTGTATCTCAGCATTTTCACTCACCCAAAAAGTATTCATAAGGCACACCAATCCGATTAAGTGTATGTATCACCAGCGGCGATGTTTGATTCGCATCCTCAATGACGAGCCAAAGCAGATTCACCACATGTTTCAGCGTGTAACCGAGTCGTGTCAATTCTGCCAATTGCTCGGCGCGACGAAAGGTTGGTGTTATAATGTACAGTGGTGGCTGTTTGATAAAATTATAAAACAAATAATAATAATTTATTTTCAAATAAAACGAAATAAAAAAAATTAATAAGATAAAATATAACAAATTTTATTGAATTTAATAAAATTAAATTAAATCAAATTAAGTACACATAAAAAAATAAATAAAGCAAAGTATAAGAAAAAAATATAGTCAAAAAATAAAATAAAATGATATGAATTAAATTAAATTGAATAGATTAAATAAAATAAAATAAATGAAATAAAACAAATAATATAAAAAAATTAAATAAAATAAAACAGAAAAATATAAATACAATAAAATAAAAAAAAATATAATAAAATAAATCATGACGAAAAAAATTAAATGACATAAAATCAAATAAAAATTAAATTAAATTAAATTAAATTAAATTAAATTAAATATAATGAAGTAAGAAACTCAAATAAAATTGAACAAAATAAAATAAATAAGATTAAGTAAATAATTTTAATTTAAATTAATGAAATGTATATAAAATAACAAAAATATAGAGAAAAATGTGATTAATTTTATTTTAGTACTTTTAATTTTTCATATTCTGTAAAATATGTAAATAAAATTTTTTAATAATTTTTTTTCACTGCCGATAGCGGTATAAGCTGTTTAACGGCTTTATGTAAGCGTTGGCGATTCGTTGAAAAATTTTTGATTGAATATTATGCAAATTAAGGCGGACAACTTCCAAAAGCAAAAGCGAAAGCCGCAAATAAAGACATTTAGAAGGCATGGCTTATAATTTATGAAAAAATCAAGGAAAAGGTTTAAAACAACAAATAAGGACATTACAATTCTATTTAAAAAATGAAGCTGAAAATAAAAAAAAATAAGATGAGATAAAAGTACAGACAGAGATTTCTCATATCATATTTTCCAACATTGTTTGATGATATGAACATATATATAGAAGTACATTGATTTCGTTTAGAGAACGCCTTTGATAATTGAGAGAATCCCAAACATGGCTAGATGCACTATTTTGTGACCAAATGAGAAAAACTTCATTTAGCGGTTGGAAATATTCGAAGTTTAAGAGTCAAACAGCTGCACAGAAAACTCAGCATTCTATAGAATATTTCGTTTTATTTCTCTACATATGTAATGGTGTTTCAACTAGCAGACCCAGTCGCACATTTTTGTGGCTTTTTGTATTTTGCTCAAATTTTATTCTCACTGGTATTGCAATGAAGTATCAGAACCACTAATTAAGCTAAGCTTAGTCAAATTATTAAATATTTCTATTATTATTATTATTGATCTAACTACTTATTCGTATGTGTGGCTCACTTCTTCACTGCTCAAAATCTTTTGCGGAAATATGTTTAATTATATCTCGAAGTATACCGAACGCACCTAAGCTGATCTATGCTTGTTACGCGCTGCCGCAAAGTAGTAAAACTGCGAAACGAGCATATCTACGCATCATATCCAAATCATATTAAATTTTCTTAATGTCTCGGCGATGCCTTTCCCGTAAAGAAATTATTATTTATATTTCTAATAAATCAAACTTCTTTTCAGGTCTCTGGTCTCTTTCTACGAAATATTTAGGCTTATAATCCAAAAAACTCAACAGCACCAAAGCATTAATTTGCACTTTCTTCGCTTATAGATTAAACAACTAACGTTAAGAAATAATTTTAATTAAAAAACTTTAAATGCGTTTTGTTCCAATGGGTCGGTTCCTGATCCTCTTTCCAGAAATTCTTGATGACCTAAGTCAAAAGTCTCCCATGTACAGAACTTTAAGTAAATCGAACTAATATCGAACGAATGCGATTTTTTTCGAATACGTCAATCCCTGGCCCACTGGCTAGAGAGAAGAGTACTCTTCCTGCTAATCTAAGCAAAAAGCCAACTACGTACTAAATTTGCGGTAAATTGGGCCATAAAAATGTTTTTTTTTTCGAGTAGTTTTGTCCCTGGTCCACTAACCGAAAATGTTTTTCGCACAAACATTTCCAAGTAGCATAAGAACAAACCGAAAATTTTCAATATAATTTAAGCTTCGGAGATTCCGGGCAAACGTTTATATATATACTTTATATATATATTTTATATAATATAATATATTTTATTTAAAAAGATACACTCGGTGATAGTTTTTTAATAGATTTTCCAATTGTAACTATTTTATGTACAAAAATTTTACTTAAATTTGTGTTTAACTTTAATTGTTTAATTCTCACAGCTAACAATAGAGAGAGATTAGAGAGACTGAAAAATTGAAAACTCACAAATTGGTAAATATTTAGTTAATGATTTAATGAATGCTAAACAAATAGTAATTCTTTTAAATTACATATTATTTGCCAACCGCAATTTGAGCGTGAACAATAAAATTAATTTTTCGAAAATCAAATACACGTATTACCGTTAACAAGTGTTGCGTTTCTGTTTGCATTATTATTTTCCGATACTATTTACACTTTACCAATTACGCTATCAGATTTACTCTTGTTATTTTCATGACATACATACATACATATAGTATATGTATTATTAGCAGAATGCTAGTTCAATAAGCATTTTTATAGTGGATTACCGAGGCGAGCAGAGCCGATTCCAAAAAGTTACAAGCAAACGTTGATGTATGAGATAGTTATATCTCTGTATGTGTGTGTGTGTGCACCCAAATACAATGTAAAATTGCTAATATGCAATTGTCAAATTAGGCGCATGCAAATTGGAAATTACTTTGTAAGAATGTATATCACGCTTTGTAGCTCAACTGCCTGTCATAATACGAGTATGTACATATGTCTGTATGTATGCTAGAGTACAATAGTTAAAGGCGACAATCAAAGGCAGTGCACAGCTGCATGCTATGCACATATTTACATTTGTTCAGCGAGATCTGTATGCACTTGCAAAGCGTTTTTTTTTTTTTTTGCTTTTTTATTTTTATTGTTTAGGCAATTTTTTCATCTATTTTCCACTTTGATTAGTCGCTTCATATGTATGTATGTTAAGGTTCAGTAAATTACGCCGCGACAGTGACATTCGTCAGCAATTTTCAAAACTTTTTAAATTTATTATGCATAAGAAGAGCTTAGCTTTAGCGGTTAAAGAATTTGTTTAGTAATTCACTTTTCGCCTTGCATTTCTCGTAAATGCTATTCTTGAGCCAATTTAGAAAGAATGCTTTCATATGTGTGGATATATATTGACAATGACGTACATGGGTGGCTGTTATCAAAATCAATGGCAGATTTGCACTATTTGTACTCCATGAGCACGAAATTGTTAAATTGCTCGTTTGAATTTTGGCCTGGAAAAATTTGACGGCGAGACGACTATTTGAAAGTGGCATAATTTTAGCGAAAAACAACTGGCGGGTCACGTAGTTTTTGTGAATTCGCTGTCAACATTAATATCGTAGGTGTTCCTTCGGGTCGCAGGTGTCAGAGATATTTTTGAATTTAAAAGACGCGGTCAAGAGCAAGTTTATTCCATGAAATTCGCAATAGGGAAGATGGGTTCAAACCCAATGTGTATAACTCTGCCTTCCAAGCAGAGATTATAGATATTATTATTATTAAAAGTGCCGATGGAGAACTGCTGTTAAGGGAGAACTTATTAGATTTGTGAAGAAAAGTTCTGTGAACACTTTAGGGGGCCTTTGCGCCGTTGGCAACGATGAATGTCGGCCATAATGAGCGTGAATTAAGAAACAGCTGCTACGCTCGCTAGATCATGTCGCCCGAATGTTAGAAAAGACTCCAGCTTTGCAAGTTTTCGGTGCAATACCGGCTAATGGAAGCAGAGGAAGCGGAAGACCTACACTCCGTTGGAAGGATCGGATGGAGAGCGACCTGAATTCACTTGGCATTTCCAACTGACGTCAAAGAGCGCAGAGAACGAGAATGAACGATAATAAGCGGTATCTATGCCAATAATTAAGAGGAAAATGACGAAACTATACAGGGTCCGCCATCTAACATTTTTTTCTTGAACTAGTGGTTATTTTGAGTGTGGTAACACTGATGTTACATCTGATTTGACAGAAAGTTAGTTTTATCCTTCAGCTGAACGAAAATGGTTGTGTATACGATTGAGGAACGCGTTAAAATTGTGCAGTTTTACTTTGAAAATGTGTGCGAAAATTACGCACGGAAATGAGCCGTAACAAAGCACCGTCCGCCCCGTATGTGCGCTTTCTTTTGAAAAAATTGAGAGAAACCGGCACAATTATTGATAAACCAATGCGTGAGAAACCAAAAAAGTGCGTACTGCCGGTAATATCGCTGCTGTGGCCGAGAGTGTGCGTGAGGCGCCCGGAACATCAGTGAAGCGTTGCTCTCAACAATTGGACATTTCCGAGACGTCCCTTAGGCGAATTTTGAAAAAAGACCTTGGTATGACACCGTACAAAGTTCAATTGGTTCAAGAATTGAAGCCACGAGGCCATCCGATGCGGTTTGCCTTTGCCGAATGGCGGACCCTGTATTTTTCCGGGAGATGCTTCTATTTATTTGTAAAAAATAAATGCATATTCATGGTTCGTTTTAGTTGGACTTTTGGATGATATCCCTAAATGGAATACTTTTGATTCCTGGAAAAACATCAGGTACCTGAAAATAAGTACGATTTGCTAGAAATATAAATAATACTTTCTTGACGAGAAAAGGATCGCCGGAAAATTAACGAAAATTGGTGTGGTTTGGATTAAAGCTGGGTCCTGCATATGAATGTTCGCTTCGCAGTGTTATTATTCAGCGGCAGCAGTTTACAAGCTGTTCTTTTAAGCTCAACTCGATTGTTAATAAGCATAAATCTGAATAAGCATATATATATTTGAATTGTGCGTTTAGCTTACTTCGAGATATTAATGTAGACATTTTTGTAAAAAAGCAGCAATGAAATGGTCCACGCATGCGAATAAGTTCTTAAAAAAATTGAAAAAAATTCATATTTTTATTTGGTCCATGCTTATTATTTGTTGTATTTTACGCTTTAATTGACAAAATATAGTGCCTATTCACTTATGGTATTAGTGAAAAAGAACAATAAAAAGACATTAAAAACTGGATTGAGAAGAGAAAATTTTTGAAAGCAAATTTTTTTCTTTTTCTTCGGTCAAAATAAGCTATAGCATTTATCTAGCCCACCAAAGCTTAGCTTTGCAGCCTGATAAATCAAATTTGTATCGAAAAGCGCGGTACACTGCGTATACGTAACCTTAGTTATGCATACGTCAAATAAATATTAATATATATTTACTAAATAGTTGTGTTTAACAATAATGAGTGAAGTATTATATTTTGTTTAGTATTAGCTGAGCATGCATGTAGCCTTATATATATACGTGCAATTTTATACTGAAAACCCAAAATCATCTACAGACATGCAAAACACAAGCTAAACGTCAAACTAAAAGCTAAACAAAGCCATCGAAACCAAAGCTGAGCTATAAATGAGCAAGCCAAACAATAAAATTGCATGCAAATTTTAAGCTTTAATACTTTCTATGCCTTAACATCTTCTTTTTACCAGCAAGCTAGCGAGTGCAATAGGGAGAATAAAAGTGAAATTAAATGAAAAAAAACTGGAGAGATATTTACGGGTAATGGATTTGTGTCATTCGCAATTGTGCCAGCAGCTGGACGCGAGACATCGCTGGAATTTAAAAGCGATGAATGTGCAGCTGTATTACAGTTACTTGCTATTGTTCTCATTGTTGTTCTTGTTGTCGTTGAACTACTACCATTGAAAGCGCCAACTAGTGGCGAATAGTTTTTCAAACTGTCAACCGCCGCTGCAGCATTTGGCGTAATCAACTGTTGTCGAGTGTTGAGGGAGGCGTTTAACAAACGACTTGATGCTGCTGCCGAGGGCAATGATGTGAATGTGTTTGTAGAGGCGACAGATGTGATGTGTGTTGCGGTTGATGATGCTTGTGATGGCGATGGTGATGGCGATGGCGATGGCGATGATGATGATGACGATGATGAATTTTTTGTTGAATTATTATTTTGTGCTTTGGTTACTGTGGCTTGTAATGGTGATGATAACGGTTGTGCATCACTTTGCGCTCTTGCTATTCGTTGATTTACAATTTGTTTTATTGTTGTTGTTCTAGTTGCTGCTCTAGTGTTACTCGCAGTTACATTTGATTGCCTTTCGCTGATTGATTGTTGTGCTTGTTGCTGTTGTTCGTCTTGTATTTGTTGCGCTTGCTGTAGTGATTGTTGCTGTTGTGGTTGTCGCGCACTAAATAGCGACATTGATGACCATAAATATGAATTATATTTTCCTGCACTAGCCGAGACATCCTCTGCATCGTTCGGAATTGCCTTGTTCTGCAACAAAAAATATAGAAAAAAAATATCGAAAGAAAACAAATTCAAATGAAATGAATGCATGTATGTATGTATGTATGTATGTAAATGTATGTAAAATGCAATGTATTGTGGCTGAATGCAATGGGCAAAAAGTACGACGTAAGTAACATTGTCAAAGCTGGAAAGGTTAGATTCAACGGGTTCTTCACTGTTAAAGCATTTATAAACAACTTGTATTTTTTTTTGATGAGTTTGAGGTATTATAATACTTTGAGGAATTATTGAAAACTCTGTGGGGTAAAAATTTGCACTTAATGCAGAGGTATTTATTTTTCTTCTGTGGATAGAAATAAACATATAAATATACTAAACAGTAAATTTCAAATTAACTAGCAATTTTCTTAAAAATACTTATTTTCATAGAATTTTCTAATTTACCAACAATTCTTCTTCACTTAAAATAATCAAGCAAAATCTAAGTGCAATTTCTGAAACCTATAGGTGCTCTAAAAAAAATCACTATACTGAGTAAACTATTAATTTTATTTATTTCTAACATATATGTATATAACTTTAAGTGGTGCTTTTATTTTATTAACTATTTGGAAAAGTGAGAATAGCTAGAAAGTTTGCTAAAAGTAAAAATTTTCAAAAAAAATATAGTTCTCAACTAATTTTCTTAATTATTATGGAAAAAAAAAACTAAAAAAAAGATACTAGATGAAATTTCCAAGATATAGAAACAACAAGAATTTTGACATATTTTGCTTCGTATATTTTATATTAATTAAAATTGAATTCCAATTAATAATTCCAATTAATAATTCCAATTAATAATTAATAAAATTAATGAATATCCCAATTTCTCTTCTACAATTTGAGTAAATAAATATATTTTCTACTGAGATGAAATTATTTCCATTTATATTGGATGAGAGCATAAGTTCGTGCCCGATTCGGCTGGATGCCGTTCGAATCGTTTGAGAGTAGCGCTCGTGAAAGAAATATATACATATTATATATCGTTGGAAAGGTGACAGTCCGAACTGTAAATCAAGCATAAAATAACTTCATTTTGATTTCCAAGCTGAAGGAGATGAATTGGGAAATCATGCCACATCCCCCATATTCACCCGACTTTGCACCTTCTGATTATCATTTGTTTCGATCGCTGCAGAACAATTTGAATGGAAAAAAATTTAAAAATGTGGAAGACGTCAAAAACCACCTTGACACCTTTTTCAAAGAGAAACCGCGCGATTTCTATGAATCAGGCATCCGTAAATTGGTTGAACGCTGCGAGTGGATTGGCGAACATGATGGCGAATACATAATTGATTAATAAAAGCGCTTTCTTCAAGAAATTTCAATTTTAGTTTGCACTTGAAATCGGGCACGAACTTATGCACTCATCCAATATAAAAGATTAAATAAATAATTTTATTTTTTTGTTTGCTACCTACATTTAAGAAAACACTCTAAGAATTTGTCAACCTTCCCTTGGCAACCCTACCCAAAAATACACTTTATTTACATTTTTTATACTTTTTGGTTTCGTACTCATCCTAGAATTATTTATTTAATTAATAAAAGTTTGTTAGATTTTTTTTTTTCAATTTAATTATAAATAGTTGCCAACTGCAGTATACGTGTTTCCATTATGCTATATAAAACGCATTTCGAAAATTTGACGTCTCATTTTTAGTTCAATTTTTAGTTTAACAATTTTAAAGAAATCTTTTTCAAATTTAATATTTTAAATTTTTTTTTTTTTTTACATTTTCGAACTTCTGGCAGCTCTACCCAAAAATATCTCCTTTGAATATTTGTTTGAACACCTTCAACTTCATACTTAAATATTTATTTTATTCTTGTTCATTAAATTTAACAGAAATATATAATTTAACAGAATAATATAAATAGGTGGCAGCTTGTGTGTTGAATAATATAATAAATAGGTGGCAACTATGCTTCAGGTAGTTCTACTAAATTAGCTCACCATTTATAAGTTTTCCTTTATTAAATTTTTTATTAAAAAATATTGAACTAAAGCTTAAAAACAAATCTCATTAAAAAGAAATATTTTACAAATATTTCTTTAATTGTTACCAAAATTGATCACCAATAACACTATTCGCAGTTTTCGAAACTCCTCTTAATTCGGAATAATATTCTAGTATTTAAGTTATTTTTCATCAGCAGTATTTAACAAAAAATTATGAAAGAGTGGCAATCTTGCTTTAGTTTAGTTTTCGTAATTAATATTGATTTCGAGTATTTCTTATGCCCTCGTTCGCTCTTTAAACGTTTAATTAATTAATTCTCTTAAATTTAATATCGTCAATTAATGCACATAACCTGCAATTGGTATTGATTTTTAATTCTCAAAAACCTCTATTTTAGGTTTAACTTTACTTTCGATTTCTATTTCTAACTAACGTTTAGATTTTTCAAATGATATATCTATTGATTGCAACCCACTCACCTTTACTATATATTCCGGCTGTGGTATCGGCTGCCGCGACAAATGATATTGATAGAGTACCATATATATACAGGTGGTCGCCACGAATATGGTCAGGTACATTTTTATCGATTTTGCTACGGCCATCTTTTCGTCTTTCAGCGTTACTTATACAGTAATTTCTTGCGGATTTAATTTTAATGCTGTTGTTGTTGTTGTTGTAGCTGCTGTCGCTGTGATTGTGCTGTTAGCATTTGTGGCGTATGGGTTGAGTGTGGTGTGTGTGTAGGAAATATTATTGGAGACCATTAATGTGTTGTTGTTGTTGTTGTCATAATTATAAATATTTTCTTTAATTATTTCTTTTACATTAAGTTTATTGAATTTTGTGTTTTTAGTTGCAAGTTTTAAAGTAACTTGAAAATTTGAGTGAGAGTATATTTTTTTGATTTTAATACTTTTGTGCTTTTTATTAATTTGTGGAAATTTTGTATGAAAATTTTATGCTTTTGGTACGATTTTGTGCATTTTTTTTTTTTGGTTACTAAATACTTCGCGTTTTTATTTTTAATTTATTCACATTTATTTGACTCAATTTATAAAATTTATCATTATTATTTTTTAAATCAATTTAGTTTTTTATTATAAATTAGTCATTTATATTAATTTTTTTTTAATTGTATATATTGGTTTGTGTCATACTTCATATATTTTAAAAATGATTCAATTTCTTAGATATACTCAGTAATTTTAAAAAATTTTTTTTTCTTTTTCAATTTGTTTTACTAAAATATAATTTTTTTTTTAATTTTCATGCCTTGCTAGATTATTTAATTATGGAGTATTATTCTACCAATAAATTTTTAAATTATTTCTTAGTGTTTATTGCTATTTTTTATTTAATATTTTTTATTATATTTCACTTTTTATATATTATTATAAACTGTTATTTTTGTTAAAAATTTATTTATTTTAATTTGGTAGAAAATGTTTAATATAGTTATGATTGTGTAATCTATTTACATTTTTTGCTGTAAATAACGTGCTCTAATGTGTATGATAAAGAGAAAAGAAAGTAATACTATTATTTGTAAATTTTTCTTAGCAATTGACAATTATAAAGCAAAAAAAAAAATCAAAATAAAATTAACAAATACTTACTCTTGGCATTCTTCGCTTTAATGGCAATATGTTTTCAATACAGCACTCGCATTTTATTGCTGAAAGTAAAACCAATTTTATTGATTAGCATTTGCTGTAGATAAGAAACGAAATTTCTTTCATTGCATTCCATGATAAACACAAGCAAACAAGAGAATTAAAAAAAGATCTAAAAAAACAAAAAAAATTACCCACTTTAACTTATCACAAAAATTTGCGTTTAATAATTTTTTTAATGCAAAAAATATTTCACTAATTTCGCCATATAATATTTAGATCACGATTCTCCCCATTAATCATTATTTATGGCCTTGAAGTTAACAGCAGAAAGTGGTAAATACCCCGAACAGTGTCAAAACTCAATTATTAGAATTTAGCGTAAGCGAGCCCTGCGCTTTTATTGCTGCCTTACTGAAGGCTTCAATTTGCTGACGGCAAGCCTCTATAATAGGCTATCCAATAGCCATGAAGCCTGAAATAGAGTTCCATAGGACGGTTTTGTGAGAAAACACCACCGTCAACTCTCATCTCAAGCTTTGATACAGCGCTGTATATTTCCGAGCTGGGGTGTGGTAATTATCTTTCCATTCTTCCTAGTTGGGGATTCGTGTTCTGAAGAAATTTTCAGTATAAAATCGGTATAAAATCCTGTCTATTCCATATTTTAGAATACCCAAATAGGTGAGTGATCCATTGATTTGACTCTCTTAAACGAAGTGTGGCTATTGCTCCATGTCGTGTAAGAGATTGCATTAATTTTAGTAATGTAATTAAATATTTTTTTAAACACATGACAACCGCCCTCAAATATTTCTAACAAATTTATTTTAATTTAGTTTAAATATTTTTTATAACTTCTTCCATACCCATAGATACTGTTATATTCTATTTATTTATTATTATTATTTTACATTTTAATTTAATAAACGTGTGTGGCAACCATTATACTATCCTATTATCGAAAGCTCTTCGTTGCAATTATGAGCTGATGCGCAAAACAGAAAACATTCAATTCGGTTTAATCATTTGGTATTTCTAAGTTTACAAACAAATCATTTTCATATACATTTACGAGTACACAAGTTTAATCTTTGAATGCATATGTGTTACCTACTTTTTAATTTTTATTTTGAAAGTTTTATCATTATTTAGTTTTTTATTCATAAATATTTGAACCTACAAATGCCATAGTATATGGAGGCGGAACATATGGGATTTTAGTATATTTCCATATATGACCCTGCAGGGAAAAGTCAAACTGGTGTGCAAAAAATTCTAGTTAAATATTAGTAAATAAAAAATGTCCGATCATATCCTTTTGCTATTTGTTGGCAAAGATCTTTATCATCAGCATCATCAGCAACGGAGATGCTAATAATACCCACCATCACCCCGCCACTGCTATGTTATGTTAATGCTAAGCACTCCACACTGGTATGTTATCTTCTCTGTTAGGCTCTGTTAAGTGCGCTAATCTTTACATCGTGACTTAGCTGACCGGGTGGTTAGCGGTTATGACTTACGTACTTGGGACGCAGAGATCTAATCTCGCTTCAAGGAAGTTTACTTTAATTTTATTTTATACATTTATTTTTATTTCATTTTATATTTTTATTTTAATTTTAATTCTTATTGAATACTTAACTTAGCAGTAGCAAAGATGGGAAAAAGATGGTTGATGAACTAATCAGTTTAAAAATGTAAGCTAGTTGGATTTTAGTTAACAACTAGTATTTTTCCCTACAGGCTATTCACCCATCGCACCAGTATGTAAGCAAACAAAGATGTATTGACTACTAAACTTCATTAACTCAGTGATAATAACAACAAAAAAAATTCAATTGGTGTTGGTAGTTAATTTCTTATCAACAAACAACTGGGGCACGCGCTGTGATTCATTTCCGCTTTACCAGACACTATAAACATTAGACATTAGGAATCGGGAATTTCGACAATGAAATTTATTGCGTCTCAAACACACTCCAAATTTTTTTTTGGAATATTTGTACAAATGTAAAGCCATAATGTTGGGAAAAATTGATTCATTAAATAAAGTGAATGGCAGGTGTCTTGCGTTGACAACGTTCCAGACAAGCATGAAAATAGTAAGAGAAAATGTATAAAAGCTCTTCAAATGAGTAAGAGTAAGAGAGGAAATATCAATAGAAATTTATTTTCTCTTTCCTCTTATTTTGATGAATTCACTTCAGAATTATTTTGCAATATTTTTTCTTTTAATCTATACATCGAGGTAACGTTATGTTTATAAGCAGTCAATGCATGGAGAAAACGGAAATACCGAACTTATTCATAGTGTATTACTGAAAAGATAAAAAATTAAAAAAAAAAATTAAATTGATTACACAAGTGCCTCTAACTGATTATCTGAGTAGGTAAATACAAATAAGTAAACATTAATAAATATTATATTGCTAGGGTGTTCATTATTTACAAAAATTAACTTTAATATTTAAATTGCGTACGATACGAGGATCCAACATCGACGAGCATCATTGTCTTGTAGTAGAAAAAATACGCACCCGCTTCTGTGCAGCAAATAATGGCCATATACAAACCCCAGGTAGGTTCGACATGGTAAAGCTGTAAACGCAACAGGCAGCCGAACGATTTTCTACTCAACTTGCCCTCATGCTCATTGAGAGCACTCATCAGCAACTCGGTATGTGGGTACTGTGGGACGGCGTTTCAACCTTTCTGCATACATCACAAAGATGCGATCGACCTCTACACGTGCGGGGTGGGGTAGATGCCGGGAGCTGAAGAGGCCAACAAGAAGCATGTGAAAACATAGAAAGAAAGAGACCGAGATGACTGAGTATGAAAAGCTTGAGAAGCAGCCGGCAAGGATTATTTTCGGGAAATCTACGAACAGATACGGGGACTTAACACAAATTTTAAGACCGGAGCAAACTCTTATAGAACCCAGAGAAGTGATTCAGGGACTGATGCCCAGAGTATACTGAAAATATGGAGAAAACACTTCTCCAGCTTACTGAATGGCAAAGCAAACGGAACACTTGGAAGTGGCAAACCCGATTATTCAAACGAGGACGATTAAACAGCTGTTCCTATGATAAAGTTCAAATAAAAACCGTCCGCTTGAAAAACAGCAAAGTCGCGAGGACTGATGGATTGTCGGCAGAGCTTTTCAGATATGATGGTGAAGAGCTGACAAAATATTGTCAGATAAAACCATGCTTAACGATTGGAATTTAAGTATGCTCTGCTGAATCCATAAAAAAAAAGGGACTCAGTAAAATAGGCCTCCTCAATAACGTATATAAAGTCCTCACGAGCATATTGTACGAAATACTAGAACCCATCCCATCCACAATCTAATTTGTTCTTATCAGTGTACTTTAAGTCCTGGTAAATCAACCATTGACAAGATATTAATCATTTCCGAAGGCCAACATCCAAGAGTTATAATAAATTAATTTAAATAGAAAATTAAGTTAAATTCTCTAATTGCGGTCGTCACTTGGCAGGGAATGCCAACCTCTCCAAGTGTATTTATGACATAAAATAAAAAGACTCCCCAAAAATAACCTTCAGTCGTTTGGAGGTGGCTTAGTATAAACTATAGGTCCCTCCGTTTCTTGGAAAAACAACAGGAGGCAAAACCACAATTTGGAGAAGCAACTCGACCGAAAATCGCTTCAGCGGTAACAAAGCGCCAATTATATATATAACCATGCGCGAATTCTTGGAAAATATCCGCGGAAAGAGAATCGACATATACAACAACACAACACGAGGAGGATCCGCTGTTAAGCCGCTATGTCTGGAATTGTTATTCCTGCAAAAACTTATACGGTTGGGATCGGCAAGTACCTCTCGAGGCGTTCAACAAGCGCCTCTGCTTTCTCCAGACTGGAAGGTAGCAAAGTATATAGGTCTGGTAATGAAGGATGATAAGACGAAATATATTTTCTTCGAATACCGCAGCAGATGAAGCCATGAGCTGTACGAGGTATACGGCGACATTGACATATGTAGTTCAGTGAGTTCAAGAGAAAGTAGCTATGCTGCGGAAGAGGAAGGCTTCCACTCTGCTGGAAAGACCAAATGGAGTAGAACCTGACTACATTTGATATTGCGAATTGGTACTTAACAGCGAACAGTAGGAATAATGACGCGCTGTAGCTAACGATAGCGTTGTCCACGCCGGTAAAGAAGAAGAATATTACGGCAAACAGGTACAATATAATTATCAGTGATTTTTTTTAAGCAAACATTTTTTTCCTTATTCTTTCCATCCTTGTGGCAAGCATGAATTATGTATTAGACCACCTTAATACGTTGCTATCATAACTACTTCCATTCACTTAGTGCTTGTAAAATAAACTTCAACTATCGTTGAGAAGCAATTATTACAGAAGCGTAATTTATTTATGCTGCAATGCCGGTCAAGGCCAACAATATTGTACGAAATACAGTACAAAAAAAAAAGAAAAAATAAAGCTTAACGAGTCAATTATACATAATCCATTTAGCGTTAACGCTTATCTGCCGCATGAGTGCTGCTCAAAAGAGCGACCAAGCTCAGCTACCTTACATACATACATATTTTACGAGTATATAAAAGCCAACAGATTTTTTTTTTCTCTAAAAATAGGAAACTTTACAAAAAAAGTTCATTATCAATGTAAGTCCCCACCAACAACTGATGGTTTTAATGCGCGTGCTAGGTTTGTAGAAATATGAAGCGAAGAAAAAATACTTTAAATACTCACAGCACTTATACGCCCTGTTGACCCACATTGAGCACACGAACGCGAAATTTCACTCTCAACTCTTAATTGCAAATGTCATTTGACTTTAATTGCACTTTCACTCTCAGCTGACTTTACATACATATAGACAGGGTATTTTTTTACAAACGCCTACAACCGACTATGCAAGCAGTTACTCATACTTACATGCATACATTGTTGAACGTGGAATGTCATACCATTTTTTCTATGCTATGATACTCCACGCGCGCGTCGTGATGTCGTGTAGCTGGTGACACCATTGCGGTCCTGCGCTAAATGTC